TGCATTTCTTTTCATTGTTAAAAAGAACTAACAAATATTTCGATCGATATAATGTTCTTAGTATACATATTTATGCATACGCTTTTACAGATCCGCTGACTCAAGTTATTATTACAACTTGAAATCAAAATACAATATCGTGCTATTTCATTTTATTTTTATATTAAATAAACGTACCTATAAATGTGGGGTTACATCTGGCCGTTTCTGAAAATTTCGTGGTATCTTGTTATGCAAAGTGGTCGCAGACAACAAAGAAAATAATTGTCCTTGTCGAACTACGAATACAAATAAGCAAGAATGAAAGTTATGGTTCTTATGCTGAAGTTTGTATACTCTGACTTAGATCAAAAGTTATTCTTTAATACATATCTGAGTTGTAAAACGTTCATGGCATATTTCTTTGATTTTGATTAAAATTAAATTAAAATTAATTAAATTAATTACATTAACATTAGACGAAAAAAAAATTTCGATTGATAAGACACTTATGCAACTAGTTCTGAAACTATTTTGCTTCAAAACATGATTTGTACAGATGGGCCGATATTGTATCTAGATCCACTTGTTTGCTGCTCAGTTACAGAAGAAGAAAATGTATTCTTGAGTGCTTTACTTTGTTACAAAAATTACGTTACCCTCTGCAAGAGTATATAAAGTTGAAAGAAAACAAAATACACCGAACAAATACATGGAACAATCGCGCGTAGAGAGTTTAAGACAAAGACCTGAGTCCTCCTACGTCGACTGACTGGCGCAGAGTGGCAACATTTTAGTGGGAGCCTTGTTTGCTGCCCCGACAGAATGGCTTCAATAAAAAAATGGGTGAAGCGAGGACAGGCAGGGGCCGGGGATTCCCGAAAAGACAAAAAGAACTTTCCTACACATACAGAGCGTAGAGGGTAATTCTTAGTTAACGAGCAAGCAAAACGTATTCACGCTCAGCTAATCCCCGAGGGACCCACACAGGGCACAGCCGAGGACCAGTCCCGGCCCTGATTCGCCTTCTGGCCCAGCGTGTGCGATGTGTACTTAGGACCCAGTGCAGTCGGATAGCTCCGCTCCCCGGCCGTACTATTAAAGCCTAATTGTGGGCAATTACTTGCTACTCGGCTAATAAAAACGTTAGAGATATTTGCGCATTTTAACTAATGATTTTCTGCTTAGGCCTAGGCAAACACTGGCGAATTTAAGTGTCCGGCTGAGTAGCCCATGCCATCCGGCTCGTAAATTACACCCACACAGCGTTCCACAACATCTCATTAGCAGGCGGCTGACACAGTTATTAATAATTCATTCAGTACTAATAGAACGCTTGTAGTTCGAACGGCACACATGACACGGCAGCAGAAATCACGGGGCAGGGATATGGAACACAGGCTCTCTCGATAATTAGCAGACTGCCTGTATAATTCAGGCCGCGCCCAAGGCAGTCCGAGTGGGAAAAGACTATTCTGATACGTTTAAAGCCCCTCAAACAGGTTGGGCTACGGCCATCAATCATGATTGGTTGCCAGCCAATCCGTCGCTGTAATTTCCAGGCCATCAACTCCCTGGGCCACCTAAACTCCGGCCTGATTATGCAAAGTCCTCATTACGGACTTAATTTGTTAAGCTGTTGGCGGGCGAAGTAATTTGAATTGGCTGCGCGACATCTTGCAGTCCATTGTTAATGTTTATGGTAGGTCGTAATCCAATTTCCTGCCATAAACCCCCCACTTAGGCTAAGCCGCTTCTACGCTTCAGTAGAGAGTTTGGGTCCAATATAGTATCGATAATAACGATCTCAGACCCGGCCCAATGGCAAACTTTTGCATCGCAGTCCGATGAGCGTTGCCAAGAACTCAGTTTGCGAGTTCCGTCAATTGGAAAGCACTAAAGGATGCCAGCCGATATTTATCTGCAAAGGGTCGCCCAATGCGGGCTGCACACAATGCCGGGCAGATAAGCTGGCCGGGCCAGGCAAAAGTCACGAAAATAAATGGAAATTAAAAGTTGGCAAGCCCTGATTGGACAGCAACAGTCCCAATCCTGGCCAGCAGGGCCTTAAATTATGCCAAGCCCCACAAAGGTTAGTGTGAGTGCGTGCTCCCGAGATTGAATAATATATCAAAAGCTCTCGTTCGGCGTTCGAGGCTGCGCTGATTCCGCTGCCGAATGCATGTCCTATCTGTCCTGCGGTAGCATCTGGCGGAGGACTTGGGCATAGTAACCGGAGCGTACGTGCTGAGGCGACTTGGTTATCATGACATCATCGTGCAATAAACGGAGTCTAATGAATAGAAATGAATTTAAAAGCCAGAATAAAAACAAAGACTCTCGTCGGAGACACAGTGACGTGAAGCAAGGGGGGTGCTGGCGGAGCACGGACCCGCAGCAGGCTGCCAGCCAGTCTACGCACAGATCCAGATCCACTGACTTGGAGGCAGTCGGCCAAGGAGCCAGGCCGGGCCCGCAACTAGACGGCAAACTTAGCTGACGACCAACCGGGCATGTTCCAATTTCTGTTTTTGCTGCGCAGGCAGGCAGCATCGGCATAGGCTCTCCTCGGCCCTGACTTGTAATCCGTTATTTAAATATTTTTTGTTTTTTATTTGCCTTTGCTATTACGCTTGTAGATATTTTGCATAAATAACTACGAGCAGGCAAGAGCTGGGCGCCGAGCAAAAACTCGACTGACATGCCATCGCACACAGCCTTCTGCTGATTCTCGTATGCACACAATCAAATCAGAGCTAGACAGAAAGGAATAACAATCTGCCGAGCGAGGCAAGTACTGCTGTGTGTTGTTTTGCAGCAGTACTCCAGTTATACTTGCTTATATTGGCCCAGCCTTGTTTACACAAGAGTTGACTTTGCGACTCCATTGTGGAGTCCAAAGGGTCGGGCGGCTACTCTGCGTATGATCCGAGCAAAAACACACATTACGTATACGCCCGATTCCGGTGGGCTCATTAGCAATCGCACGAGGTGTCAAAATGGAAGCCATAAACAGGCCCCTGCCCGAGAGTTTAGCTCTATCCGATCCGCCCCGTCCGCCACGGTTACTGACTGTCAACGGACAATCCAGGGGCTATGGGACCAGAGGCCGGAGACGTGACCCAGCCCACTCGCACACTGGCCCACTGACACGTCGGGCATTGGCAGTTTGCATGTCAGACCCCCAAGGTGACGAAACGCCCCAGCTCCGCTCCAGCTCTGCTCCAGCTCCTGCCCATTCTGCACTCTCCACTCTCCACTGTCCCCGTTGACAGTCCGGCACTGACACAGGACTGCCACGCCCGAACATCCTGCCGGCTGAGCGACCTCTCCGTCTCACTTTCCGCTAGTGTGTGTATGGGTGCGTGCGCGCTTTCAAATATCAAATTCACATTAATTTTGACATCGAAGCGGAAATACATTTAATTGCTTTCGGCTCGGCCCGCCCCCAACCACGGTGTCCTTGCCCACGCCCCCAGACCTCCCACGCGCGGCGCCTTGCCAAGGGGCCTCACGTCTGAACGACAACGACTTTCGCCATTAGCGCCACGTCTCCAAGGAACTCGTATGATTCCTACACAAATATTTGGCTTTTCTTAGCTGCTTTCATGAGTTTTCATTTTGTCATTTCATTAAGAAGCCGTCGGACTCCCGACAGCCGCCATTTGCATGCGTGTTTGCCCAGGCTGTCCTGAATAGTCCTGAACAGTCTTCTGTGGTCTGGTGCTGGATTTGTTTGTGGCACGTTGCCAGGCAAAACAATTACAACAATAAATGGATCGGGCTTTGATTAACTCAGCATAGCATCATGTTGATTATAGGTAAACAGTAACGCGCCGCGGGTTTATGTAAGCCTGATTAAATTTAGGCATATTTATGGATTACGGTGTTGTTTAGGATTGTTTTGCAAATTTAAAAGTCGAATTTCAGTAAATACTTTATTGAGAATCCATGTTTATTTCCTCGGATCCTAGAACTCCTAGAACATTAATTAGAGAAATCCATCTTTATATTTCCAAATTCCAACAGTTTGTATATAAATTAATCATTATTTCTTTTTGAGGAATGTATTACATGAAGTTCTCCAATGTTTAAACAGCATGATGAATACATATAACCCTAAGTACGTAAATTCTAATTCTAATTTTAATTCTAATTAATTATTTTGAATCCAAACTCAAGTGTTACTGGTTAAAATCTTAACATAATAATATCTCCGATACTTACAACTCAATTTAACCAAATCTAAAAAAACCATTTGCTTAACATAAGACAAATACCGATCTATCCATTTATTTTTTTACAGAAAATCAGGAGCAAAACTGACAAAAATGACCCACCGATACAAATGTCATTAATTTTGATGTACATATGTACCTATAACTTCTTTTCTAAGTTCTAGGCGACAATGAGTCCTGATTAATATACTTCATGTGTACATTAACTATTCTGTTAGGGAATATGGTTGCAGTATCTCGTTATAAATATTTGCAAATAGAAAAATTCGCATTGGTTGAAGATCATTCAAAGGCTAGCTGATCAATTAGGTTTTATTAAACAAAATGCTGACAAATCGGCGAGAAAAATATAAACTTTCATTTCAATGGCTTTAATGCGTCTACTAGATGTCTTTTAAAAAATAATGATTTCATTATTTTAATCTTTCCTTGTTTCAAATACAATTACTTAACGATAAACATTTTCCTATTAAATATATTTCAAGTCACCCCAACCCAGACTCCAATTCTCCCGATTGTTAACCACACCATTATGGCAGCTACTTTTCTGGTGAATGCCAACTTCCATTTGCCAGCCTTAGATGATATGTTTTTGAGCGACGTCCGTGTTGTGTGCTTGACGGCAGCAAAGTTTGTGCTTGCCGCAGGCCATAAACCAAAACCTAAACTTCCAAATCCCGCATAAATCAGGTAGCTGGGGCCAGAAAGCCAGGAGCGGACTGAGCCACAGGGGGCAGGGGGAAGACGGGGCCAAAAGTCACACTAAGCACGTGTCATACTCACATGCGAGGCTCCTCAGCGGCGGATGGGGCCAGAAATGATGCTAGAACGGATTCCGGTGACCCGTTTCTCACTTATTTATCTCGCCGGCGGCACTCGCGAATATCGCTCGGCGGAAGCATCAACTGGACTCTTCGGAAAGGTAATTCCTCGCACTAGGGGCACCGTCAGACTTAACATACGCTCGCACACTCACTCACGCCGGCACACCTCGGATGCACTGCGATTTGGGTCAGAGTGCCAACAAAACGACAATGCAGCCGCACACTTCACTGTTGTCACAGTCACTGTCGCTGCCAGTTTCTCGGTTTCTCTGGCGCTCTGCCGTTTCCGCTTCCGCTTCCGTTTCCGCTTTCACTTTTTGTTCCTGCTGGCTTTTAGTCGCGTTCACAGTGGCCCCGGCAGCAGGACATGAGACCGCAACTGCGTCCGTAGGGATATGCAACGGTACGAGGGCGAACCTTCCTTCTAGCCGGACTTGAACTTTCCACGCGCCGCGCGAGGCGTTATCTCAAAAAATTGTAAGCACTTTTGCCGCCGGCAAGCTTCAGCCTAAGCCACAATTTCAGCTCCAACCTCAGCCTCAGCCTCGTTCGGTCTGGCTTTGTTATTGTTGTGCTAAATGGTCTGCCAGCGTGCGCCGTGTTGTTGTTGCTACTTGGGCCAGGAGCGATGCCGTCGCTTCCGCAGCGTGCACAGCTTTCGATGAGCAAACGAAGTGGACTGACAGGACGACCCGCGACGGCCAGGACTCAGTGGCCTTCGGGTGCGCCTCGGCCCTGGAAGAGAGCGTCCGCGCCAGCGCACTGCTTGGCTGAGCGAAAGCTCCTGCCAGCCCCTAGGTCAGCCATGCGAGCGTTCCCCGGCTGGAACTTCGTGGCACAGCGCCGTGCGGCGACAGCTGACTTCCATGGCTTCCAGGGCGCAGGCCTCCTAAGAGAAACTAACGCCTCTCTTCGCTCTCTTCGAAAAGCTTGACTGTCGCCTGGCCCGAAGATGCCCCAACTGTGTCACACTTCTCAACGGAACGCGCTCCACCAACGTCACGTGCCAGAACGTCATGGCTGGCCTCTAATGACGCTTCGGACAGGCGGGGGGCCTGCGGGCGTCCCGGCGAACCAGCGCCGTGCCCCGCAAATTGATACCCTGATGCATCACGGACAGCGGCCGCCGCAGGCGGAGCCGTAACTGGCAACTAAACTTTTGCGGTGAGGTGAGCGAGCCCAACTGACAACAACGACAACGACAACTATCGCTCGCCAACATCCGGCGACGTGCAGCGGGACGGAGATGGAACAGGAGATAGTGGTGGGGTTGCCCACATGCCGCTTGTCGTTTTCCATTAGAGTGCCGACCAACCTCAATGATTTCTTACTCACAGCGCGCAATTTCTACGCGTTTGCTTGTGTGGGTTAGAGCGCACGCTCCCGCACACTCGCACACTCGCACACACACACCACTTTGGTGGGCATAATCGCATTCGTATTGGTTTTCGAGTGCCACGGCATCCGACGGTCGCCCAATGCGTTCGAGTGGGGTCGCCGTCTTAATCTGTGAGTGAGCTGGTGGGGGAGTGTGTGCGTGGTGGGGTGAAAAGTTCAGGAAATTGCTTTTGCATGAGCGCTCTGGCGCGGGGAGGGGCTGCCTCTCGGGGGAGGTCGACCGGACGCTAGTCCTGGTCGCAAAAGGAAGCTGCGGCGATTGCGAAGGAATTGGCAATTGAGTGAGATCGCAGCTTGTGTAAGCCGACTGCGATGACGGGCAGGCGTCTGTCAGCCAAGTACCCTTAATTTAGGAGCAGCCTTGCCCAGAAGATAATTACGCCGCCGATAGCCAGAGAAGAGCAGGGTAGGGTATTGACCCACTCCATACACACTTTTTGCTGGCTCGCATGCTGCCATTCAGTCAATGGTCAATACACCCGTTGACCCCGTTCAACTCTTGCCCTGAGCCGTGCTCGAAATGGTTTCGTGTTCGCATTCCGCCCAACAACCTATCACTATCAGTGTAATGTTTTGTTGTCGTCGAACGTAGTTCATCCTTTTATTTTCAACTCGAATGAAAAATGCTGCCTACTTTTTGCCGGCAGCGAGAGAATCAAATAATAACAAAAACAGTTTTGGCACTGAAGAGGAAACAAACTGTTGGCCCTGAAGCGGGGAAAGGCCATACATCATGGGCATTGTATTGGGTCGTAATTGAATTGAAAACGACCTGAGGCCCAATATAAAGAATTTCTATGAATATTTGCCAAATATAAAAGTAAATATGGATGTAGGTGGAGTGAACATTTAATTTCTTTCTTTTTGACAAATTAAGAAGCAGCAATGTGCTGCCAAACCGCTAGAGCAATTAATACTTTTTACAAGACCTACGGAGTGCAGAAAAAAGGGTTCTCATTTGATCGAAAATAAGATAATTGTAGGTTGAACACTTAGTCTATCTTCTGTGGAGTTCAGCTGTAGTTCGCAATATTTGATTGATGTAATTAATGCCAGTAATTGATTCGATTCGCCTGTAACTTGCCAGCCCCATGACTACTGCTCTTCAAAAGCTCCATTCAATGGAGGCCATATACCAAATGCAATGGAGGGCTTATAGCTCCATACTTATGTGTGCTCCCACTCTTGCAACCCTTGCGTGTGCAAAAGGGCGCCCATGTGTGCGTTTGGCCCCATAATATAGGCTATTAAATCAATTTTGGTTGTTGCTCTTTTGCACTACTTTCACTACCTGTCTGTCATACAGTCAGCCAGTCAGTGAGTCGAAATTGGACCAGCTGACTGCTTGGCTGACATGTTCTCAGGGTGAAGCTCGTGACTGGGCGAACTTAATGTCTGGGCTGGGAGAGAATGCCACATTTGAGGCCATAGGTCAGAGGACTGTGGTTCTGCCAAGCACTCTGCATGGCCAAAGTCCTGTTTGTTGTAGTAAACCAAATAAAGTGATCTTGCATTAAGACTCTACACTGCAGATGTTTTATAGATGGAGCTATTTTGCCCAAACAACGGTTGAACATAGCCTTTGTTGTTCTTTTACATATTTTGTTGTTGATCGAATTCGAAAAATAAATAAAGTGAGCCTTCAATTAGATCCGTGCTCCGTTTTAGTTACGCAATACAATGTTGAAGAAAATATTCGGAACTTGCTTTTTAACTGATACACATTGATCGAATCATTACTAAGGAAACTGAAAACTGAATAATATCGTTGTAGACGATGAAGAATTTAAAAACGTAATAAAGGCCAACAAACTTTTTGAGTTTTGTCCAAAAAAATAGCCTTGTGGACCATAGTGCGGTGTCAGTGTCGGTGGGAAATCAAGGCCTCTCGCTTTTCAAGAACTACGTACATATGTCAGTGTGAGGGTTATAACTCAGGAAATCATTATTAAGTCCAAATATGCGTGGCAGCCGTGCAAATATTGACGGTACAAAACAAATTACCTGATTACATTTGGGTCAAGCCATTTTTGGCACCACGGCGACACTAAATGTTTGTGTTCTTATTTGCTTGTGTGTGCCAAGGGGTCTCTCATCCGCACTGGCAAACAAAACACCCCCACCAGCCCGGGGGCAGTATCATGGCAATCAGTTAGACGTACATACATATGTACATACATATATGTGGACCCGTATACTCACGGGTCATACAGACGGAAATTAATTAAAAGTTTGTGTGTTGCTGCAGCAGAATGTCTAGCTTGTTTATTTGTCTTGCCGGGCGTGTGTGCGAGTGTGCCAGTGTCTGTGTTAGTTGTAGCCCTTGTTTTTTATACGCGAATGTTTTCTCATTTTTTATGTATTTTCACGACCTTGTGAGTTAACAATTTGGGGCACTCACTCTGTCGCAATGTTTACAAAATAATAATGGCATTTACGACCCTGGTCTGCACTCGCTCCGAGTGTGCGTGCATGTCTGTGTGTACTCCAGGGTCGTTCTCCGCCGTTGGTCCTGCTGCTCCTGTTGCCGGTTGGGGAATTCCCTTTATTATAATTTCATTTCCCACTGCCAACTCCTCAGCGGCACCGGCCGCCACCAGAAATATCTCATCAAAATGCATTCTCCCGGCTTAGAAGCCGAGCAGAATAAAGAAATATGTGATTTACTCGTAATAATAAACAAAATTCATTTTATGCTTGGCTTCATAATTATTCGAACCACTTCGTGTACTGCTCTTGACTGCACAAGCTTCTTAATAAATAGAGTTTCCTGAAAGCGGTATATATTTTTTGGTTCTCGGTTAGATCAAATATATTGACGGGCTAAATTATTTCCCAGATGCCAACGTTTGTTGAGCGTCAGAAGCCTCTCGGTTACTTAATAATCTCGTAGACCCTGTGAGAGCTTTACATTAACTCTGTTAATTTGAAGAACATCCAACACAGATTGACACCAGTTATATCTCTGCCCAGCAGACTGCAGAATATATGTTCAACGAAAAGACTGACATCCTTCGCAAAACACTGCGATGTCTGCGTCCTGGTGGAAGGGTGCGGTCGGGAGTGAGGACGGGCAGAGAGCGAAAGCGCTGAAGCACCTGAGTGTGTAAGGTACGGCAAACATGTTCGCACAGCTGCGCAGCATGGCATTAATTTCCGTTAATTAAAATAAATACGTCAAGCGATAATAAATGACATGGCGTGGGTATTAAACGTACGCGGAGAGATCGGGCACAAAAGCGATCCAAAAGACACACGCCGCCACCAATTAGGCGACTACTACATGCCCGGGCACTTGCACCGCTGCCATCACACCATAATTTTTCCAAACAGAGCATGCAATTAATGGGGTAATTGATTTGGCCAGAGGAAACATAAATTTCTGCAACGGACAGGCCACAGATTGGCGATTTGCGTGGAGCCCGATGAGAAGGTCTCGATTGTGTCGGTGGCTGGGGGTCACTCGTCAGCTTGCAGCGCATAAATTCCATTCAAATGCCGCGACATGTCGCTCCATAAGACGACGACGACAGGGCTCTGGGTGTTGGGCGCAACACAACTTTCTCTGAGTCAGACGGCAATGCTAAGGCCCGTGCAAGGACAAACAAAAGATTATCCTTGCCCTTGCTTCACGCTCGAGTAACACATACAAGCTCTCTTTGGACACTGCGCCCGTGATGGAGAAACAGTTGCTCCACTGAAGCTGGGGGTGCACATACGGGTGCTCCGCTATTGAAATGTTGCAGTAATGAAAAAAAATGTCAACTTACACGTTACGGGGATAGATAGGAGCTTGAGCTTGTTGTTGCCGCTCCTGGAGCTTAAATTGAAGCTGAAGCCGAAGCCGACACTGGAGGTACATACAACAAAGGAGACAGCGACAACAAAACATGTGTCAAACGCCAGACATTCTGAGCAATATTAATAACACTCGGCGAGCATATTTTTCATTAAAGCTGCAAGGAGATGTCACCAGGACGACACGCAACACAACATGTGGCATCTGTGCTGGCTTACGCTTAGAGGCTGATTATGCAAAGCTTTTTGCACACGCTCGCGGACCGACAAGAGAGAATTTAATAAATGTAGTTATAAGGGCGATTAGCGGCTGTTTCGCATTCCTTGCGATTGCGGAGGGAGCCATGACAAGTCTGCCTTATCCCCTTAGCTCACAAATATGTACATATATGTACATATCGCCTTCAGGCAAACGTACTGGTGACCCGGTTAAAGCAGAATCAACGCGACCCACGCGTCTTAATAGTCGCTCAAGAGTCATTCGCCATTTTTGTCAACTTTTGACATCATTTATGCAGGCCGGAAATGCAGCATGTGGAAGCCAGAAAAGTCGTTCCTTTGATGCAGTTTCACATTTAAAATCGGTATCGGAATTTTCTTGACGATAAACTTTCAAGATGTCCGTCAGCTCGAGGCCCTCGACTCAAGTTCCCTGACTCTGTTAATTAAACATAACGGAAGGCAGCACAGAAATTCTCAAATGAATAATTAAACTGCAGCAATAGCCCCAAACTTAACGCAAACTTTTCGAATTTATTGAAAACTTCATCTGCGAACATGACACAAGCTCAACAGTCCGCGGGCCTATAAAAGTCGAGCTCCAAGGGCCCACATCACACACTGGCCGCAATATGGTCTTCAAGCTTATACATCCCGCTCCGCTCACGGAGCAGAAGCGATCCCGCGACGGCTGCATCTACCTGTACCGAGCAATGAAGTTCATAGGCTGGGTGCCGCCCAAGGAGGGCGTTCTGCGCTACGTCTACCTCTTCTGGACACTGATGACGTTTGTGTGGTCCACCACGTACCTGCCGCTGGGATTCCTGGGCAGCTATATGACCCAAATCAAGTCCTTTTCGCCAGGCGAGTTCCTAACCTCTCTGCAGGTGTGCATCAATGCCTACGGTTCTTCGGTCAAGGTGGCCATCACCTACTCGATGCTGTGGCGACTGATCAAGGCCAAGGATATACTGGATCAGCTAGACCTGCGCTGCACCACCATGAAGGAGCGGGAGAAGATACACCGCGTGGTGGCGCGCAGCAACCATGCCTTCCTCATCTTCACATTCGTCTACTGCGGCTACGCTGGTTCCACCTACCTCAGCTCGGTGCTAAGCGGACGGCCACCCTGGCAGCTGTACAACCCGTTCATCGACTGGCACGACGGCACCCTCAATCTGTGGGCGGCTTCCACCCTGGAGTACATTGTGATGTCGGGCGCCGTCCTGCAGGACCAGCTCTCGGACACATATCCCCTGATCTACACGCTCATCCTGCGGGCCCACATGGACATGCTGCGAGAGCGCATCCGCCGCCTCCGGACCGACGAGACCCTGAGCGAGGCCGAGAGCTACGAAGAGCTAGTCAAGTGCGTCATGGACCACAAACTAATTCTGAGGTGAATGCAGCTCCAGTCTCGAGTTTAGGTCAATTCACTCAAGTTCTCTTTCGCTCAGCAGATACTGCTCGATCATCAAGCCGGTTATATCTGGAACTATTTTCACCCAGTTCCTCCTGATCGGACTGGTGCTGGGTCTGACGCTGATTAACGTTTTCTTCTTCTCGGACATCTGGACGGGCATCGCCTCCTTCATGTTCGTGATAACCATTCTGCTGCAGACCTTTCCCTTCTGCTACACTTGCAACCTCATCATGGAGGACTGTGAGTCCCTCACCCATGCCATTTTCCAGTCCAACTGGGTGGATGCCAGCCGCCGCTACAAGACAACGCTCCTCTATTTCCTTCAGAATGTCCAGCAGCCCATCGTCTTTATTGCCGGCGGCATATTTCAGATATCCATGAGCAGCAACATAAGCGTAAGATCCTGCGAAAACATTTTACATTTCCCGCCGTACTCTTGGTATTATTCATTCTATCCTGCAGGTGGCAAAGTTTGCTTTCTCCGTAATAACCATCACACGGCAAATGAACATTGCCGACAAATTTAAGACGGATTGAGTTAGCGACGGACTTAGCTTTCCACGGCGAGTTCAACTCTCCTACCTCCCACATCTTCCCTATAACCCAACTACAGAAAAATTCTTATTTAACAAAAAGCTTGTCTTAATATTTCTAAAACTTCTATGCAAACGTTCTAGCATTGAAATTTTAGACAGTTGCCAACCTAAAAAATAAATGCACTTAATTTCATTATGGTATTATGCCTCTTCATTGAATATTTTGGTTTTATTTTACTTTTTTATAACCTTGCAGGGTATTATAATTTAAGTCAGAAGATTGCAACGCAGTGAATGAGTCACTTTCGATCATATAACATATAACATATCATATAACATATATATTCTTGATCAGCATCAGCAGCCGAGTCGATCTAGCCATGTCCCTCTGCCCGTCTGTCCGTTTATACGCAAACTAATCTCTAAGTTTTAAAACTATCTGAATGAAACTTTGTAGTTAGTCTTCTATTCTTCATGTTCATACAAAATATCGTTAGATATAGAGGAAAGTGCCAAACTGTTAATGAAAACTGTCAAAATTATAAATATATATATATATATATATATATACAGTGTCTCCGGATTCACCCCACGCTTTTAACTCAGAATTTAGTGATCTTGTTTATACTTACATATATACTATTGCTCTGAAATTAATAATTTTGCTTGTAATTATAAATTATTTTCTTCTCTTTAGTTCGGTTATTTATAAAAACGTGTTTTTTTAGTTTTTTAAACTATTATTTATTCGTATTTTAGTTCGATTTATCAATAATCATTTTTTGCGGACATGTAATTATGAAATATCTAACGAACTATTTTATAATCTCATTATTTCATTTAAGGCCTCTTTGTTGCATGGGGTTTTTCCTGTTAACTTTGAGCAATCAAGTTCTTCAATGCGAATACCGTCTAAGGTTCTTACACGACTAAGTTGTAGATAAGCTTGTACAGCAGGCATGCGCAGATCGCGCGCTAGCTCTGTCTCTCTTGCCCCTTTACGGAGGATTTAAATAATCCTAATCAGGACAATGAAACATTTTTATCAAATGATTGTATTGTCATCGTTCTTTGAGAAGTTTCAAGTTTATCAGATATTTGGAAACCCTTGAAAACAGTGTTCAAAGATTCCGTTACATACATACATCCCGAACTAATAAAAGAGTGGGAAAAATATAAGCTCCAGATTTCTGCTCCGAAGCATTATTTTCCATCTAACCACATCGATCACAACGGAAAAAAGTTGTCTTTTATAGTTTTTTTTGTTTGCTGCACTTTAATAATTGAAAATATTAATCATTGAATATTTTAAAATATTTCATATTTAATTTACGAATCAATTGGTGTAAAAACCGAATACAAACCATAAGAAATATCTTTGGTAAATGTTCTTATTTAGCTTCGGCACATTTGTTGGCCGTCACAAACCAACGAAAATTGTTCTATTAGATTGGCACCAAGTTGCTAAGGGATTTTTCCGTACGTCTCGGCGGACCACAGCCCACAAAGAGAGGGACAAGGGACGCCTCCAATCAAAGGTGATCAAGGCTCCTGCAGATGGAAACAAAAAACGGATCGCAGTCCAGTGGAATTTTTTTTTACCCTATCATCCAGTAACGAAAAGACCGGCGTACAAATGGCTATAACTGCCGAGAGTCGTTTAAAGTCAGAATCCATGTAAAGCCAAGTGAAAAGTACAAATTTATTTTATTATTTTTTTACCAGTCGAATTTAAGCCCAACCCAAATCAAGCTTCACCAATTTGCTGCTTTAAAAATTAAGGTAAGTAGTTTAGTAAAATGATTCGGTTATTTTTACTAATGCGTATATCCATTTTAAAGTTCTTTTGATTTGCTTTTTTAAAATGTTTTAAAATATATAACATGGAGAGAGTTAATATTAAATATTATATTAAATTATATTAAAATAAGCTAACTTCGGCACGTACAAGTGTATTACCCTTGCAGATAGAATTTCGATGACAAGGAATGCATACAATTTAAATCATATATATTTATGTTAAAAAACAATGAAGTAATACTTGCTTTCATTTAATTTTCTTGTCGATTTTGATGCACTTAGTCTCCATACTGGTTTTTTAAAAAAGAGTTTATGGTTTCTGATTTAAGGGTTATCTGATATAAGGTGAAGGGTATAACAGAAATTTGCCTTTTCCAAGTTCGCTAGACTTCCCTTCATAAGCTTCTGGAGACTCAATTAGTGTAAAATTATGAATTAGTTAATGGCGGTAGCCGGAAAAATACTCTTTGAAACTTGTGCTCTTTTATCAGATTAATATGTAATTGAATGCTAGAAGTTTAGGATGGGAGGAACTACCTTCTTTGCAATGGGTGCAAAAGGCACAATAACCAATTTGTATTAACTAACTAGACAGTGACGGCCAAGCCGGAGTTAGTATTCGAGCTATGTGCTCTTTATTGAATATCCAAATAAACAGAATCAGAACAGAAGTCGATGCTTAGATGCCGTGGCAGACCACTCCCCAAGCACAAATTGCCAGTCATACGATCGCTGGCCACCAATAAGACAAAGGAACGGTCCATTTCTTCGTACTTTGCTGGCTCAGCTCCTGGACACCATAAGGGTACATACAGTGTGCCAGAAATTATTAATATATAAAAGTGTGTTAAATACCCTGATTATTTTTAGAGAGCAACAAGTGATTTTACAATATATTCTTCGGATCGAACTTAAACTAAGTCTCGCAGATAAGTTGCTCGTTTGCAACGGAGAGACTGTTATATATACAGTGAAATTGTTATTGTTTATTTATTAAAGTGAGCCAAACTAATGTCCCGTCAATGGGCTACGGTCAGTGCTAAGGAGAAACTGGTGAACGAAGAATTGATTTCATCGTTTTAAATCGTTTGACCTCAGCTTAACGCGGCATTCTAGTATTTAAAATCTTAACTGTTCTGGCTTTTATTTAGATAAGTTTGTGATATTGTTTGTATACATAATTTAAGAGTGAAGTGCCACTCAGTAAGTTGTTTATGTTAAATTGTTAATGTTATTAGTAAATTGTTTATGTTATTTCAGAGCGGAATCGCCTGTCCTGGAAGTGGATTCTTTACATTGGTTGGGGCTGCTGGCGGACTGCATTTGATTAATAAACAGGTTAAGAGAATTAGTATCAATTTTATAAAAGATTCTAAAAAGAGCCAGAAAATGAGCGGATACATTTTATTAAATGCTTATCCTTCCAAATACAAATACTTTAAGTCGACTGAGCTTTGTTTAGTAGCTGCAGATGTCGGACCGCAAAGAAATTGATTGTGGGTTGATATTTGTTTATATTCTTCACGCTAATAATAATGATAATAATTTGAAACTTATCTACTCCCATAAATGATGGGAATGTACGTGGCCTGAAAGTATTCGGTGATGTGTTCACGTGGAGCGTATGATAGATGGGGGGTATGAGTTTCAGCATGTGTGGTGGATTTTTATTAAAGTTTGTTTATGAAATTAAGTTAATATAAAAATGTATCTGACTAGCTATGTACATAAAGTGAAAGTTATTTGTTTTTGAATGTCGAGTCAAACAGCCCTGTAATGGCCAAGAAGGAATTAATTAGGAGTCAAAACAAGTTCCGTTTTTAATGTTCTTGTTTTATTCGAATGCAGCTTAATTATACTGCCCTATGCTTACATTAATTTTGGGAGTGAGGTCGCCCGTTGGGTTATTAATTGTATAAGCACATAATTTGGCAGAGAGACCGCCACACAGGGACGCAACATGGTTCTGAGCGAATTTAGGGGACACCGCGACGTCGTATTGTGGGTCTTCTGGGTGTGTCTATAAAACGTCGGCTAGTCTTTTGTCCATGACAGTCGTGATCGTGGTGAATTAAAAGAAAAAAAGTAGTTCTCCGACGTCACCTATGCCTTTTTGTCGGTTTTCAGGCACCTAGCAAGCTCTATCAGAGTGATAGATAGATAAACATGCCATGTGCATTGGAGACGCTGTAGAGGGGCGGCATTCGAAGTTCTGACGACAAAATGGTTTTCAAGCACGCCCACAATCGTATGTAAGTTGTTGGGTTATTGTAGGGGGCTTTGACGTTAGGATGATGCCTTTTTTAAGCTGGTCCTAAATCTCACCCTTGACCAAGTCAGCTTCTCCCATTTTGTAAGGGTGCAATGTGGCATTGAGACGTCTAAGCTTAAAGCCTCACGTCATTCCCTGCTACTCTCCGTTCATATAAATGCTGATATTCTGAATTAATATTAATTTATAAATTGTGTTTGGGTTTTTTCCAAAAATTTACTTTGAGAGAAATTTTTTGTTTTTTACATTTTCCGAAAAATGTTTTCGTATACCTTTACGAGCTTTATATTTGGACAGAACGAGTTACGCTCAATTTTACAAAATCAGTCCTATATACACGTATAGTGAAATTTATTGTGAGTCGAATTAATGGTCCGTCACTTGACAAAGAACCACGCTGAGAATAAATTTAGCAACGGGTGGTTCAATTAGTGTTCTTTATTCGATTGATTAAGCTTAGCTTAAGACTAATTTTTGAAGTTCAAAATCTTAATTCTATTGCCCTTGGCTTACAGGAACTTAGAAGCGAAATCGATAGCTCGGGATATTTGATTGTATACATTAATCAAGAGTGCGACTGTCACTTAGGGACCGCCACTTATTGGTTTCAAGAATTGTTTGTGTTAATTGAGATGGGGTCGCCAGATGTAACCCTTAGAACATTGGATAAATTATTCTTAAAGAGGACCTTTTGCGTCCTGCCATTCAAATAACTAGAGATCCAATTAAGAAGATCACTTGGAAAACCCATTGAATCGAGTTTTCTAACGAGGAGAGAAAGGCTAACAGAGTCAAATGCTTTACTGCTTTACATCTGTCTGACAATTATTACGGAAGCCCTTTATAATATAGGAAGAGAGCTCCAAAAGATTTGTTGTTGTTGATCTTCGCTTAATAAAACCATGTTGACATGGAGAAATAACCGATCTACAAAGGTGCTGTAAGTGAGGGGTGATAATGTTTTCAAATAATTTAGGGATGGCCGACAACTTAGAGATTCCTCTATAATTGCTATATTTTTTGTGGAGAGGACTAATAAACGATTCCTTCCAAATAATGGGAAAGTGTGAGGTTTCTAAGGACAAGGTAAACAATTTCAGAAGCGGATAGCACAGGGCGTCGGCCAGGAGAGATTTCGTTTAGGCTAGGACAGAAAATTAAGTTTGATTTGGGTATGTCGTAGGAATAAGTCTGGTGTAAATACGAAGAGCTTGAATAGGTTGTTTAAAAAAACTGCGAAAATATGTAGATCGGCTATTGCCTGATCATTATTTGCGGTAGTATTTTCAAATGAAAGCGAGGAAGGATTTGTTTTAGGCTTACGTTTAGTGTTAACGAAATTATAAAACTGTTTTGGGTCCTGTGAGAACTGGGCCATACAACGAGTTAAATAGTTTTTATAACACTGCGCGTTCAGCACGGTAAAGTTTGACCGAGCTAATAAATAAGATGAAAGGGCAGATCGAGAACCGGTGAATTTAAATTTAGTATACAGTCTAGATTTTTTATTTTTAAGTCGGCTCAACTCTTTAGTAAACCATGCGATTTATTCGAGCTTGGCGGATAATATAACGGAACACATTCAGTAAAAAATGAATTCATGGCACTGTAAAAAATATCAACGGCAACTGCCATGTCAGTGCACATGTATAGATCGGACCAATTGAACTCGTTTATAAAATTATTCAGCCGTTCAAAGTCCGTTTTGCGAAAACATAGGACTTTATTGGCTGCACGGTCAGAAATATTCTGTACGTCACACCCAATATCAAGAGTCACATCGAAAGTTGGATGATAAGGATCTTCGGGCTGCGTCAGAGGCGCCACCCTTGCTAAACTGACTCTCGCAGGATCAGAGACGAAGCAAAGATCAAGCAAGCGCTGTAAGGAATTTCGCACATGGTTGACTTGAGACAGCGAAATGTCAAACAAGCCAGCGATAAAGTCATGTTGTGTAGGTGTATTGAGAGTATTGGTGGAATTATTTGAGCACCAAATAGCACCAGGGATATTAAAATCTCCTCTCCAACTGGTCTCTATCCAAAAGTCTACTGGAAACCATCTGAATAGCGGAAAGGTGATTCCAATAAATAGGAAGTTCCGACAGTGGAGGTATGTAGGAACAGGTAATAAAGATGGAGCTACCTTTGATAGATAGCTTCACACAGAGGAGTTCGACATCGTTGCATTCCTCGAAGGTTAATAATTCTGACGTGAGTGAGGAGTCCACCGCTATAAGAACTCCACCCCCGCGTCTGATAGGGCGATCTAGCCGATATACTGTGAACACAACTGGAAAAACTTTGGAGCTCAGAATCTCCGGCTTTAACCAGGTTTCTGTGAGCACAATAACCTGAGATGCAAACGAAAGGCTATCAGAATACAAGTTAGGAAGCTTACTACGTAAGCCTCTTGCATTCTGATAGGAAATACCTAGGGAGTAGGTTAGTTTTGTGGTATGATCAGGCCTGGGAAGAGTTATCCTACAAGCTGCTTTTTCTTTTTCTTCGCCTCGAACTCCTTAACAACGATGTACTCTGGCCAGAAGTTGGGAGAGCAAATAGTGTTAAAGAGCTCGTTAGGGACGTTTATTTTGAAAGATGAAATGTCCCTTGCGTAAGAAAATTTAAACTTTTCCACCTTTATCTTAATTTTTTCGTCTCTGGTTTTGCCTTGTATAAAGGCGAGAACATCTTCCGATGTTTGATCAGGGGAGAGCCGCGAGACAAAAATATGTCTCGTCGGTGGAACCGCTATAAGAGCTTTTGGCAAGGCAGATTATAATTACATAAAGTGTGTTATTATTATCTGAAATTAATTTTAAAACGTCATTATGTTTTACTATCTTTTTTTAGTTTCATTAGTCGAGGAGGAGTTTTCGCTTAAAATAACATTTTCAATCTTAAATCTACATTGTCTTTTTCTAATAATTTTGCATCCACTTATTTTTATATCGCTATTTAATTCTTGAAAATTTTGTGTAATAAAAGTTTCCGTAAGATTTCATGTAGGTATAATATTTGGTTCAACATATTGAATAATTTCTATTGAGGGAGTTTGTATAAAATTAAAAATTGGATTCTTGGGTTTAATTAATCATTGTGCCCAAGGTTCCTGCGGAAGCTTAACGGTATTAGTTATCTTTTTATACCGTTTCAGGGTATTATAATTTCAGTCAGAAGTTTGCAACGCAGTGAAGGAGGCACCTCCGACCATATAAAGTATATATATTCTTGATCAGGATCAACAGCCGAGTCGATCTAGCATTGTCCGTCTGTCCTTCTGTCCGTCTGTCCGTTTCTACGCAAACTAGTCTCTAATTTTTGTAGCTATCTGAATGAAACTGTAGTTAGCCTTCTATATACTCTCACTCGTATATATGTCGGAACGGGCCGGATCGGACGACTATATCATATAGCTGCCATAGAAATGAGCGGAAAATTTTTACAAAAAAATTTTAACTTTTTCAGTTTTCAATAGAATTGGATTAAATTTAAGATATTGCCATTTTACTATACTCTTCAATTTTGCATAAAATTTTATGAAAATCGGACTACTATATCATATAGATCCCATAGGAACGATCGGGAAATTAATAAAATTAAAAATTATAACTTTTTCAGTTCTCAACAGATTTTCATCGAATTTGAGGTATAGCCATTTTATATTAGTCTTTAATTTGGTGTCAAATTGCATGAAAATCGGACAACTATATCATATAGGTGCCATAAAATCGATCGTTTGATGTAGAAGAAAAATGCAAATCTATGAATGTAAAACTGCAAATATAATATGTATAGGTGAATGAAATGAAACCAGGTATTACTTCATTGTTTTTTAACACAAATATATATAATTTATATTGTATGGATTCCTAGTCATAGAAGTTCTATCTGCAAGGGTATATAAACTTTGGCGTGCCGAAATTAGCTCCCTTTCTTGTTTTAAAACATTGAATATTTAATTCCATAAATTGCTAAACCGTTAAAGATTTCTCCATTCTTAGGCAATCCATCCAGTCGTTTCAATATATGTACATTGTACTATGTGCCAAGGAGCCATGGCTGCCTAAAAATAAGTAAGTCTGGACTTATGCAGTATTTCAGCTATAATGCTTTGGATCCATGTATAATCAAAATCCGCTTAATAGTACCGGAAAAATAGATGTTTCTTATATTTTCGATTATTATTTAGGCACAAGTGGCTACGTACTGTATACAAAACCAGAGCGGAAAATCTGAAAGAATTATGACAAAAATTTTCAAGCGCTTAATTCTTAGAAATCCAATTACAAACTGCAAGAGTATACAAACTTCGGCGTGCCGATGTAGGCTTCTTTCTTGTTTCAAGTGTGAGTGGGATAACTTTTATTATCTCGAGGTTTTGCTTTCTTAAGAATTCATTTAAAAACTGACATTCTGTTTAAATTCATAACTATGCATGTATGTATCTATTTATGTATTAAGGTAAGGTAGACCACCCGTACATTTAAAAAAAAAATCTGATTATTTTTACTTAATCTGGATGCTAATATTCTTACGGTCATTTTAAGACAGACATTAGAATTTAGCGCTGCCGGTATACCTTAAGTACTTTCCCTATCTTCTCTTGCGTTTTTCTCAAAACTGCGTTTTTTAAAACGGTGTACATGATTTCTCAAAAATTTCTGGACCGATTCTCTTCAAATTTGTTACACAGCTTCTCTATAACGTCCTCTATGGCATGACGTAGGATTTTTTTTTATCGATATTAAACTTTTTTTAAGTTATAAATTTTTAAAACAAAAATTTCGTCTAAAAAAAAAATTTTTCCAAGTACTCCCAAAAACGGCTACATCATGCTATAGGCATACTTATATAGTTTATAAACATTTTTGTTTTTTAATTTTAGATAACAAATGTGGTGTGCAGCATGTACACCATCCGACCATTCCGTAAAAAATGCCTTTTTTGACTTTTAAGAAGTATTGTTTAGTTTAACATATGTACTTTGATGTACTAATAAATAGAAAGTTGTATTCTAAATAACTTTGAATAACCCTCAAATTTTTAGGCGTCCAGGCGATGATCTACACCCTTAACTCATTTCATTACTCATCATCATTTGATTTGGCAAGTTTCTCGGCAATGTTCATTTGCTTAACCAGAGTAAAGACTGAGAATGAGAACTTGGTAACCTGCAATATAAATTTAATCAATGCAGTAATTTTCAACTATCAACTTATGTTATGGTGCTTACACTGATATTGGTGCCCACGGATATGGGAAATACGTTCATGGCCATGAATGTTATCGGCTGCTGAAGTTTCTGCAGAAAGTACATTAAGGTCTTCTTATATCGAGTCTCTTCGTCGATCCAGTTGGAGTGAAACAAAGCGTCCGCAAGTTTGTAGCAGTCCTCAGTCAGATAGTTGCAGAGTATACAGAAGGGCGTGGTCTCCAGGAGCACGGCAGCCATAAAAGATAACGCAGCGATGGCCGATCCCAGATTAGCGAACAAAACAATGTTTATAAGGGTGAAGCCAAGGACCAAGCCGACCACCAAGAATTGCACAAATATGGTTCCAGAGATCACTGGACGAAGACAATCGACATAGCTGAACGAGTAAGGGGCAAAACAGATTAAAATTATTAAAACATGATAACATCGTAAATCCAAATATCCTATGTTTTTGCTGTTTTCAATTAAAACACTGAAAATCGATCGGTCCTCAAATAAGAACATAAACATAGAACTTTTGCCGATTTTCCAAAGTCCTCATATAAGATGAGTTATATGGCAGTTGTCATTGTGGACAGCCGTCTATATAGATAAGCAGGCAGAATTTAAAATCAACTTAATTTTGAGGTTGGTTCATCGGTAATCCCGGTTTTCCAGAATTACAAACTTGTCAAATTATTTTTAAAGATAATCTTAATTTAACTTTTAATGGTCATAAAATTTGCTATAAAAATTGATGCAGTTAACCATCAACTATTCAAGTCAGGGCTCTGAGTGAATGTCGTTAACTTTTCTGCAATTATACAGCAGCCATAATCATGAGTATATTTAAATACATACATACATGTAGGTTGTTTTCAATTTATCGCATAAAACAACATAATTCTAATAAATGTAAATAATAATAATATTGTAAATTAGTCTTTATTAAATACATATAAACGATTTCTGATAAGTATTTTGCCGATTGTCTGGCAAGTTAAATACTTCCATAGAAATGATAAGTACATATAAAGAAAATGTAAATGTTTTATTAAAAATGGGCTATTAACTATTTTTGCAAACAAAAAATCAAATTATATTATATTTTTAACACTCTAGTGCCCAAGACCGCCTCTAGACGTGCACATTGAAAAGTATCTACATATGTATATTTATACCCTTGCAGGGTATTATAATTTCAGTCAGAAGTTTGCAACGCAGTGAAGGAGGCACCTCCGACCATATAAAGTATATATATTCTTGATCAGGATCAACAGCCGAGTCGATCTAGCCATGTCCGTCTGTCCGCCTGTCCGTCAGTCCGTCTGTCCGTGTGTCCTTCTGTCCGTCTGTCCGTTTCTACGCAAACTAGTCTCTCAGTTTTGAAGCTATCTGAATGAAACTTTGCAGTTAGCCTTCTATATACTCTCACTCGTATATATGTCGGAACGGGCCGGATCGGACTATATCATATCATATATATCATATATGACTACATCATATAGCTGCCATAGGAATGATCGGATAATTTTAACAAAAAAATTATAACAATTTCAGTTTTCAACAGAATTTGATCAAATTTAAGATATAGCCATTTTACTATACTCTACAATTTTGTATAAAATTTAATGAAAATCGGACAACTATATCATATAGCTCCAATAGGAACAATCGAGAAATTAAGACAATTAAAAATTATAACATTTTCAGTTTTCAACAGATTTTTATCAAATTTGAGGTATAGCCATTTTATATCAGTCTTAAATTTTGTGTAAAATTTTATGAAAATCGGACTACTATATTATATAGGTGCCATACAAACGATCGTTAGATGTGGAGAAAAATGCACATCTGTGACTGTAAAACTGCTATGTAAAGGTGAATAAAATGAAAGCAGGTATTACTTCATTGTTTTTTAACACAAATAAATATAACTTATATTGTTGGGATTCCAAGTCATAGAAGTTCTATCTGCAAGGATATATAAACTTCGGCGTGCCGAAGTTAGCTTCCTTTCTTGTTTTTTATTGCAATCCTTTTTGTGTACGTTTTGTGTTTTTTTCGTATTGGGGGAAGTCCCAATACGTTGTGTTTGCAATACGTATTAGTGCTTTCGTCAGCTGCTACAGCCACTTAAATATTAACATTTTTGAAATTTTTTGTAAAGAATACCAAATAAAAATAAGAAAGGAAGCTAACTTCGGCACGCCGGAGCTTTTATACCCTCGCAGATAGACCTTCAATAACTAGGAATTAATGCAATACAAATTATATATAAGTTAACACATCCAGTTCCCATAGACAGAAACTGTCGAGTAAAGAAACTGCCGACTCCGCCCGGATTGTAGATTAATATAACATGGCTATTTATCATATTCAATACAAATCTGTTGAAAAATAGAAAAGTAATAATTTTGTTTTCTAACAATTTTCCAATCGTTGCTATGGCTAACTGTATAGTTTTATTCAGATAGCTTCAAAACTTAGGGGCTTCTTTGCGTAGAAACGGACAGACAGGCATGGTTCGATCGGCTCTGCTGTTGATGCTGATCAAAAAATATGTATATACTTTATATGATCGAAGGTGACTCCTTTCATGCATTGCAAAATGCTGACTGAAATTATAATACCAAAGACAATAAAGTCTATTGTCTTTGATAATACCCTGCAGTTGGCCAGGGCAGACAGGCTCTAAATAGTCTTATTGAGTTTTCGGCTTAATGTGCTTTAGATTTCAAATAAAAACGTCCTGCTAAATAAAGGGAATGTATATAAAAAAAAGTTAATAAAATTAATTTGTCAAAGCATTCTATGTGTACCGAATTTAAAGAACACGAGGACTAGGCGCGAATTTATCTGGTACCGGTATATCAACTCGTGTCCATAGTTATTTGGCCTAAATATGAACAACAGCAACGACTACTTACCGCAGTATTATCTTATGGTCTTGAATGCATTCCACCAGCTTCTCGTAGCGCTCCTCGTGACTCTCCACCGGATCAGTGCCGAGGCGACGCAGTCGGTCCGCAAAGATGGACATGTGGGCGCGCAACACGAGTACAAAGTTCACGGGATAGCAGTCCACACAGACGTCTTGGAAGCAGGCGCCAGCCATGGCAAAGTACTCCAAGCCGGCCTGCAGGGCGAGGTGCCAGTGACTGGAGCGCCAGTCCAAGTACGGGTAGTAGTTCTGATAGGGCGGCCTTCCGATTAAAATCGCCGAGAGAAAGGTGTTCGTGGCATACGCCATGTACACCGTCATGAAGAAAAAGAAGATCCGGTTGCTGAGAGAGACCGCGCGGTGGACTTGCAGGCGTTCGCTGGCCTGCGTGAGTCGCTTGTCCATTTCGTCCAGAATGGCGTTGGCTTCATCGAACCGCTTGACGAGGGCCCACACAATCAGCACCTTGGTGGAGCAGGACCAGGCATTGAAAGCAACCTGCAGCGAGGTGAGGAACTCGCCAGGCGAAAACTCCGACAGATGGCTTATGTAGCCCGTAAGGAAGCCGATGGGCTGATAGAATGTCGAGCTCAGATTCAGAGCAAAAGACCACACGACGTAGGCCAGGAAATATGTTGCGGGAGGCTTACGCACGCCCATCAGGAAGATGCAGCGCAGTAGGTACAGAGTCGCGTCCCTGGAGCGAGCCGGAAGATCCTCGGAAAGCGTGTACATGGCCGGAAAGATCCTGCGTAGCTGCATGGTGGCTTCCCTTGAATTTGAATTCTCGAGTGCAAAGGTCGGCGGCAGAGCCCTTTTATATGGCTGCCAGTGGCGTGATTATAAGCTCATCAGCGAAGCGGTTGGGTAATTCATGAGCGAGACTCCAAAAGTCGTTTGTATAAATCAATTAGAGCAAGTGCCAAGTTCTTGCGACACCGAATTTGTGGAACCCTTCACTTCGATGAGCTGACACATTGTAGGGCACTGAAGGTGGCACATGTCTGCTCAGCAACCGACTAATGGGGAGTATGTAAAGCTAAGTAGAAGTGTAAAAGTTTACACTTACTTATAAATAGTTTATGATCCGCTTACCCCTTAATGGGACAAACAAGCCTGCAACAGTTCCCAGTATGAAAAGATTCAAATTCAGGTGGCTTTTGTAGTTACCAAACAGGTAGGTTTAAAGAATTCCCAGTACACCGTATACCGCATACTCAAAAGTAATTCATTGATTTTGTTACGCAGCAGCTCGAAGGCAGTCGAAATGTGTTGTCCAAACTTTCGGTTAAATACGAGACACTACAGCCAAAAGCTGCGACAAACGACTCAGCTGCAACATCTCCATTTAATTAATAAACAATGACAGCCCGGCAGCAGCCGAAAAGGTTTAAGACTAGGCCCTGAAAACTTTTTAATTAAATAAGTCAATTGGCAGCAGCTGAATATCGAAAGCTTAAATTGCCAGCCAGCAACCTATCGATATTTGTACAGTACAAGCCACATTGTAGGTAGTAGTCCAGTCATTGATTATTGCTCCATTTGAACTCCATGCTAGTAATACCTAATGATAGCAATTTATCACCCTCGAGACTCAAAGGACTGGTAAAATAAGGAAAACTAGTAGTAGTGAAATGCGGAAGAAGCTATTTCCGCATATTAAAGCATAGATGTAAAATAATTATAATTTTAAGTTCATTAAAAATTGAGCAAATATATTCCATCTGTAGTCAATGAAGCAGCATCTAAGGTAAGCATTACGCATTAAGAAAACAATTCAAATAAATTAATCAGTTATAAGAAATGTTATGCAAAACCAAAATGATTTTTTTAACGCACAAAACATTTGGTACTTATAATCTCACTGTGAGCATACACTACTGTCGCATTCTAGACTATTTTCCTAAAGAATATACAGATAAGTCAAATTAATTATTTCTCGTAAATTTCATTTAATACAAATGTCAGGAATAAAACCGTGTTAACGGCTTTTAAAATATTTATGGTGTGTACAAATAAAAAGTCACCATCATCATTGGAAAATGTACTCTGTTAAAAATAAAATAAATAGTTATTTCGTTAAAAAGGAGTAAAGCAGGAGCTGAATCATAAAATGGCACTTGATTGAAAAGAAGGAAGAATTCTAATTCAAATTTTTGGGCATTAAGCAAATTACAGTAAAAGACTTTGACTTCAAGCAAGCAAAAGGGCGTTTCTAGCGCATTTGTTGAAAAATTGTAATTATTGACTGAAGTAAGAAGAAGGCCATAGATTAGGACTCATACTATTTATAAACAATTTTTTTGGTTCAGCAGTGGATAGCGGAAAGTCTTTCATTCGCTCAATACGAAAGTCAAAGTATTGTAGAAAGTCGAACGAAAACAAAAACAAACCTCCCATTTTCCAAGATATTTGTGATTTTTATTTTCAATATTAAGTGGCATTTACCGTTTTCATTAACTGTAAATTCGCATTTCCATAGGTCATATGAGAAATCAGTATCCGCTTGCTACAAGTCGCCGCACAAATATTTGATTTCATCCGACTGTTTTTGTTGGGTTCGTCCGCCTCAACGGAAGCCCGTCCGCAACAGGTGCTGAATTTCATTTTCCCGAGAAGCAAACTCATTTGCACTTGGAGCCATGACAACAAGTCTGGCTGGAAATCGTTGGAGGCAGGAGAGAGGCTAGTCAAATGTTGATATTAGCCACCCGAGCGGGGCCGCACTGGACTGGGACGAAAGCAACAGAGGGCGGGATAAGCGACTTCACAGCGACGGCAGCCCGAACTCGTTTCACTTCAAAGTAAATAAACAGGAATTCACATTTTGTACCTATCCCGACTCACCGCTTTTATCCATTGGATTCTTCGAGTGCGAAATGGGAAGGCGTTGTCACTGGTTTCGAGTGACGCTTGCTTTTGTGGTGAAGATCAACGTCTTGCTGTTAGTGGTGGGAGTGATCTTTATGCTGGACTTTGTGGGCCACTACTACTTGAGGTCCCTCACTTTTCCCGGCCTGCGGGTCTACCCCGTTGGCCTGTGAGCCTGGCTGCTTTGGGTGCGCGCCCTCACGTTGCTGGTATACATTCTAAATGCGATCCTGGGAATCCGAATGGCCCAGAACCCGAGCGTCTTGAAGTTTGCCTTGTATATGCTGATGGGACTGGTGGTCCTCCTTTATAACCCCATCATCGCTTCCACACGGTTCATGTACCGCTGGAAGTTTGAGTACTATGCGACGCAAGTTACCCTACAGTGCTGGGCCATGGACATGATGGACAAGTTAGAAGTGAAGTTCACCTGCTGATGGCTGACTACCTGATGGCTTCGACCAATCGCACCTGGTAAAGCGACTCCTGCTGTGAGAAGCCGGAGTGTCCCGGATGCATCTAAAATATCAAAAAGTACTTGTGGACAGTCGAGATGGAAGTTGCGAGGGACCACTATTTCGTCGCAATATTTCTGGTGGCGGGCCTGATACTTATGGTTCTCTACTTCGAGGACGTACCGTTGTACGACGATCCATTCGAGGATGACTCCGACTATGACAGTGATGAGAGGCAGGTCCCATCCCCCAGGCTGGTGCCTTATGGAGATGTCAAAGCAGCCGCCCATGAAGCCGATTCAGGAGCAAAAACCGAGTCTCCGCCCTCTCTGGTCAATTGAACTTTAATCCAGCTTTCTTGCCCAACGCCTCTGGCATGCCGTTTTGTCTGGTAGCTTGTTCCGGCTCATTAACTGCGAAACCAATGGTCCACACAATTATTACATCCAGTCAGCTTCCACTAATATCGGTACTTAATTAGCTCTCAAAATAAAATGCCAGAAATAAAGTTTAATGGCTCCGATCTGAGCCCAAGAAAAAAAACGTCGAATATGGTTTAATGGATTTATAAGGATTTATTGGCCTGGCTGGAGTTTCTTGTTTGTAAGTATTGGTTAATGTTTCACTTTGGGCGCTGCTATAATTAATACAATCTCGTACACTACAAGAGATGATTTTAACCTTAACTGGTATCAGTTGGTAATTTAGCAGTCGGTTTAAAATCAAGCCTTTAAATGATGTGACTGCATTATTATTATTAATATTTCATATTTATACCATGCATTTTGTAAGTCGGATATACCGTCCCATTCGCATTGTCAATTCCCCTTTCGCGATTGGCCTTAGAATGGCGGAAAATGCCTTGTGTGGGTGGGGGAGCGTTGGGAGGTTCAGAAAAGTGCACTGCTGTGCTTCCGTTGCGGTTTGTCTGGAGGAAGCGCCACCGAAAAATAAACAGTCAGAAAGGATGCGCAATGTAACGGAAGTGCGCGAAATTTGTGAACATTTAACCAAGCGGCCCCTCCGCCCCGCTTCCTTTTGTCACTCCTGCGGAGGGGATAGGTAGGCAGTGGGAGAGCCTGTTGGTGGATGGCTGAGTGGACTGGTGAATTGACAGTTTAAGGATAGAGTGCATTTTGCGGGCGGATGATAACTATGACATTTTAATGATGTCGACGTTTTTGACAGTTGGCTTGAAGATTTCGCAATAGTTTGACAGTTGGCCTTTTGGAATTCTAAGCGACAGAGCTGAGCAGCTAGCAAAAGAAAGCGAACTTAAATTGAATTTATGACTTTCGTCTGGAAAGTTAGGCCACCTTAAAAAGCAAATTATTTAAATTTAATATGGTTTGAATTCAAAGTTTTTGGCTATAAACCGTTGACGATAATACTGTGGGGAAAAATTGGATTGTTATGAGTATATTAAGCATAGTTTCAACTCGTTTCGGTAGTTCAAACAAGAAGCGCAGCATATATGTATGTACATACATATATATGTAAAGTGTATATATTCCCAATCAGAATCGCCATCGGAGTCGAATTAGCCATGTCGGTTTATCCGTCCGTCTGAAACGACAGAACTCAGATACCATAAGAGCTTAAAACGGCAATTTTTATACCCTTGCAGGGTATTATAATTTCAGTCAGAAGTTTGCAACGCAGTGAAGGAGGCACCTCCGACTATATAAAGTATATATATTCTTGATCAGGATCAACAGCCGAGTCCATCTAGCTATGTCCGTCTGTCCGTCTGTAAGTCTGTCCGTTTCTACGCAAACTAGTCTCTCAGTTTTGAAGCTATCTTAGTCTTCTATATACTCTCACTCGTATATATGTCGGAACGGGCCGGATCGGACGACTATATCAATTAGCTGCCATAGGAATGATCGGAAAATTTTTACAAACAAAAACTATAACATTTTCAGTTTATAACAGAATTTGATCAAATTTGAGATATAGCCATTTCAAATTATTCTACAATTTTGTGGAAAATTTTATGAAAATCAGACAGTTATATCATATAGCTCCCATAGGAACGATCGAGAAATTGATACAATTAAAAATTAAAACGTTTTCAGTTTTCATCAGATTTTTCAGATGTCGAAAACTGGCAAAGATATTTATTTTCTAAAAATGTTCCGATCGTTTCTAATCTAAAAGGCGAGTACTTGCCCTGAAACAAGGACGTTTCGTTTCGTTTTGTGCGTTGAAAAGTCAGACATACGTTTTCTGACCACATTTTCATTATACATATAGCTGAAATTTAAGGTATTTGGTTCAATATGACCATAGAGCTTGCGTAAACTTGGTTAGCTCTAATACATGCAAATGGTAGTCTAAGCAGATATTAATTCATGATACCTATACACAATATTAATCTTGGTTAAAGTTAATTTTGAAAATGAAAATAATTAAACAGGTTTCGTATAAATACTTCTGACTTAGATAAAATGTGTGCCTCAAACACCCTAGGTGTCGCGAAATTGCAGCGGCTCCTGCAGTACGAGCTGCCGTAAGGGATCCAAATGGCGTCGGTAGCTTTCCACCAGCTTATGCTCGTGTAGTTTGCTATTTCTATCATATATTTTCAGATTTAGATTTACCTTGTTCTACACTAACCGTAGCACCGACTCACGCGAAAGAGTTTTTAATAAGACTTCGTTTAGGAAGCATTGATTTGGTTTTGAAAACGCTCTATTTTATGTGCCTACTCACCACTACTTTTACAATTTTAGTCAGAAGTTTGCAACCAAGTAAGGAGTCATCTCTGCCCATATAAAGTATATTTGTACATACATTTTTGATCAGAATCCGTCATGTCCGTAAATCCGTTTCTACTCAAACTAGTCTCCCAGTTTTAAAACTATCTATCTAAATGAAACTTTGCAGTAAGTACTCTATTTACTTTCACTCGTGTAGTAGCTGGAACGGACGATTATATCATTTAGCTGGCCTTGGACTAAATCATATAGATTTCATAGAACCCATCTGATAATTTTTATTCATTCGATAGCTGCAATCAAATGTCGGTGGCAGGGCTGGAAAGAGTATTGACAAACTAAGGCAGATGTCAGCCGTTTTTCCCGTCCCAACTTAAAAATGCTTGCGTAATTTCTTTACAAAAATGTTTTTTCTACTGTTAGCAGATACAGGTCACGCAGGAGGCAGCAGTTTATTACTTTCTTGCAAACGGGTCTTACCAATTGAGGATGGTAAAGGACTAGAAGTCAATCAAGTGAATCATAATTATTAACAAAAATCTGTTTTATTCTCATTTGTTTATTTTTTGATTTGATTATATGGCGCAAGACAAACAAATCTGATCGTTTTCCAACAGGAAACTTATAATTTACCGTATGAGAAACATGTGTTTTGTAGATTAATACCACAAACACTTAATTATTTCTCCTGACACTTATTTATGTTCACAGCAAAAGCAAGCCGTACTGTAGTCTTTTAAATTCAAAAAGTATATCAGTCGGAGTCATCGGGATGCGTGCTCCGTAGATCATTAAAGGCCTCCAATGATTTTTTATTTGCCATTCTACATTTATCCCAAACATACAGTATACATTGCTTCAAAACCTTTGCCATTGAAGAGTTCTTTGAAATGTTGCAGGTTGAAGTTTCATTGCTTTGTATAGTAATTGGCAATTTTAAGCTGAATGGGCTGTTGTGCCACCGAAGCGAGTGCAATTTTATTTTGTGAACGAATTGTTGCTAATATTAGAGAAATCAAAGAAGTCTTTTCTGTACTACCAGCTGAATCTAAGGAGTAAATCCCTCCAGTTTCCTCATTTGTTACTTTCTTAAGAGTATAAAATACATAACTCTGTTTTTCATTTAGTAGTGGAAGATTTGTTAGAATTAATTCATTCTTAGGGTTGAGATCATACAGTTGTTGTCGGTGCGGGTCTTGATCAAAAGCATCATGCAGTCAGGCCTTATTGAAATAATAATGAATAAAAATGAAAAAAAATACATATTGATTTTATGGTTTTTCCGTCCATCATTAGAATTTTCTCGTCGTAGAAACCATCTTTGGACTTCAACGAACTTGAAAAAAAAACAAGAAAGGAAGCCAACTTCGGCTCGCCGAAGTTTTTATACCCTTGCAGATAGAACTTCTATGACTAGGAATCCATACAATATAAATTATATATATTTGTGATAAAAAACAATGAAGTATTTTTCTCCACATCTAACGATCATTTGTATGGCACCTATATGATATAGTCGTCCAATTTTCATAAAATTTGACACCAATGGCTATACCTCAAATTTGATGAAAATCAGTTGAAAACTGAAAATGTTATAATTTTAATTTGAATTTCTCGATCGTTCCTATGGGAGCTATATGATATACATAGTTGTCCGATTTTCATAAAATTTTACACAAAATTGAAGAATAATATGAAATGACTATATGTTAAATTTGATTAAATTCTGTTGAAAACTGAAAATGTTATACATTTTTTTTGTAAAAATTTTCCGATCATTTCTATGGCAGCTATATGATATAGTCGTCGGATCCGGCCCGTTCCGACATATATACGAGTGAGATTATATAGAAGGCTAACTACAAAGTTTCAGATAGCTTCAAAACTGAGAGGCTAGTTTGCGTAAAGACGGACAGACGAACAGACGGACAGACGGACAGACGGACATGGCTAGATCGACTCGGCTGTTGATCCTGATCAAGAATATATATACTTTATATGGTCGGAGTTGCCTCATTCACTGCGTTGCAAACTTCTGACTGAAATTATAATACCCTGCAAGGGTATCATAATTGGGTAAGTTGGCCATGGCGTTATTAAATTATTTACTTACCAACACGTTATGCTATTGTTTATCTAAAAAATCACTAGTAATTAGGTATCGTTTTCAATAGACATATAATAATTGTAAAGCCAATAGTAAAGATCGAACCGCTGTAGCCCAAAGAGGCTACTGAAAAGGGTTAAATAGTTAAGTCGCAA